CTCCTACGGGTGGTGAGTCCGTTGGAAGGGGGACCCACGTCTCCTCTTCGGGCTGAGCCCGGCCGGGCTCCGTGGGTGAAAGCCCGATAAAATAAATAAATAAATAAATTACCAAATCTTTTCTGCCACAGCTTAAAATGCTGTTGCTATTGACACTTATTCTGAGCTTCTGGTACCGCAGGTGCTGCCAGACAGGTGCCCCCTATAAGATTTATTGCTATGAATCTTTGTTACAACAAAGAAAGAATCTACCAAACACTAATTTACTTACTTTTTTTGCCAATTATATTTATTATATAATTTCTTATTAGTGTTACTTTATTTATTATCAATGCCTTGATAATGGCTACACTGATAACATTAGCATGTGTGAACCTGGTTTTTTGGGACTTTTTACCAGCAGTCCTTTTAAGAATCAAAGATCAGTTCTAATACTGTAGAATGCCAGTGGTGGATTAGGGGTTAAGTTAAGGACTAAGGTAYGAATTTGGGGAGGGTGGGGGCTGTATGTTATGTTAGGCTACAGTATTTATTGGTAATGAATCAATACACGGTTCTAATGGCGATAGAAATGCAAACTTTTTGTGCGTGCATGCCTTTGTAAGGGCGTGTGGACATATTTTGACATTATACCATTCTTATGAGGACATTTTGTTGTTTTGTGGACAAATGCATCATCCACACAATAAAGAAAACATTCGTGGGACAAAGGTTGGGTTGGGTTAGGTATGTACGGGGTCGGCTTCGGATGTTATCATCCATTAAATGGACGTTRTTAGTCATTATCAGTCCCATAGAATTGCTTCAGAATATCCTGACTATGGCTCCTAGTGGGGGCACTGYCGGGACAGTCTGAACATTCAATGTCATTGGTATATTAACCCACTAGGGGGCACTGTCCAGACAGTCTGAAGCCATTCTATGGGACTGATAACTGCTAATAATGTCCATTTAATGGACTGATAACATCAGAACCCACTGATGGGGTTAGGATTAGGGATGTCCCGATCCAGATTTTTTGGCTCCCTGTACAATTAGATTTTTTTAATGATTAGTTTTTCCAATACCGATCGGATACAATCCAATACCGATCCAATAGCTTTATTTATTTATTTATTTATTTCCAAGTGACAAGGTTGGTAGTATTAAAGCGAGCCCTGCTGTTCCCACCATGAAAAACATCCAGTTTGCAGATTTTACAAGATGCAGTTTCAGCATCCTTGTTTTCCATTGAAAAGTGTTCCCACACTGTGGACATGGTTGCATACTTGTGGGCATCTTGACTTCTTAGCAGTTGTAAAGATGATGCTGAAAACTGTYGCGAAAACTGGATCGGCCCGATCACATGACTAAATCAGACCCGATTTTTTTTTTTAAAAATGGCCGTATATACCAACAGATACCGATAGTGAGTATCTGATCGGGACATCCCTAGTTAGGATTGGGTTGTAGATATTAATGCAAGTTAATGCAGAATCCGCACAAATATAGAAAGACAAGTGAGTGTGTGTGTGTGTGTGTGTGTGTGTGTGTGTGTGTGTGTGTGTGTGTGTGTGTGTGTGTGTGTG